ATGACACACAACATACTGTAATATTTCCAACCTTAACTCAACCAACCACACAAACACAACTTCCTGAACAAACAAACGCAATAAATACAAGTAACGCAACACGCACTACAAAGACGCCCTCACCCACACGGCCTAGCACAGCTAAAAAACACAATACTCTTTCTTCTCAGAAACACACCACGTTATCACAAACACAACTCACTCGTACTCAACCCAAACGCAACAACCTTAACAGCACTACAGGCTCACAAAATACTGTAATGTCTCCACCAATAACCCATGCAACAACAGAAATACAACTTCAAGAACAAAGAAACACCATAAATACAAGTAACGCAACATGCACTACAAAGACAGGTCCATCCAATAAAGTTACACGCCCTAGCACATTTAAAAAACACATAACTCCTTCTTCACAGAAACACACCACATTTTCACAACCCACTCGTATTCAACCGCAACGCAAAAACCTTAACAGAACTACAGGCTCACAACATACTAAAATATCTCCACCAAAAACCCAAGCAATTTCACAAATACAACCGCAAGAACAAAGAAACATCATAAATACAAGTAACGCAACATGCACTACAAAGACAGGTCCACCCAATAAAGTTACACGCCCTAGCACAATTAAAAAACACATAACTCCTTCTTCGCCGAAGCACACCACGTTATCACAACCCACTCGTATTCAACCCAAACGCAAAAACCTATACAGCACTACTAGCTCACAAAATACTGTAATATCTCCATCAATAACCCAAGCAACCTCACAAATACGACCTCAGGAACAAAGAAACACCATAAACACAAGTAACGCAACATGTACTACAAAGACAGGTCCATCCAATAAAGTTACACGCCCTAGCACAGTTAAAAAACACAATACTCCTTCTTCTCAGAAACAACCCACTTGTATACAACCGAAACGCAAAAACCTTAACAGCACCACAGGCTCACAAAATACTGCAATATCTCCACCAAAAACCCAAGCAACCTCACAAACACGACCTCAGGAACAAAGAAAGACCATAAATACAATTAAAAAACACAAAACTCCTTCTTCACAGAAACACACCACGTTATCACAACCCACTCGTATTCAACCCAAACGCAAAGCCAAAGAAACACTTACACAATAAACTCCATTTAAACACAGACACAGACACTAATCGTTACTTGATTTTAATCCGTGCGATTAGTTAACCAGGCTAGACCTGAGTTCTCACAAGAAACACCGACCATAATAATAATAATGATAGCGTTGGCTATTGTGCCCATCAATAGGTATGTTGGTAAGTACGAATTACATTATCCCTAGATGTCCAATGTACGTGTGTGATTTTTTTTTTTTTTTTTTTAAGGACCCTACATAACTTCACCAGACACAGACACAGACACTAATCGTTACTTGATTTTTAATCCGTGCGATTAGTTAACCAGGCTAGACCTGAGTTCTCACAAGAAACACCGACCATAATAATAATAATGTCGAAAACCCGAAAGTTCTACGATATTCCGTTGCAATATCTCGATCGATTTATAAAATGAGCCCGAAAATCCGACAGTTAGTGAAACGTTAAGCTCCTTTTTGCAGAGACGGCGCCAGGGCGGCCTGGGTGGGCACGTGCCCAATCTGTTAAGTCAAGTGTCCACTCAAATTTTGAAAAATTTTAACGCACGAACTTAAGCGCTGTTTAAATACTATATTATTTGAAAAATGTTTGCTTGATTCTTTTTTGTAAAAATGACTAAAACTTCGGGATCCGGTGAGGTTTTAAAAATACCGAATAAATATTTTGTTAGGTGCCCACCTTAAGAGTATTGGGACCAATTTATGCCCATCTGTTTAAGAAGCACTAACGCCGTCGCTGCCTTTTTGAGAATTAAAAATGCGCTAAAAATTGATTTGAAAACATTACCTTCTGAAATTCAGGGTGGAAAGCAAGGAATAGGTTATTATCTTGAATCAACCACAACCCTCGCTTCATGGCACTGTTAAATTCAATTTTCTGTCACTGCAAGAGTAGTGCCTAGTCGATTCCGAGGAAAAATGTGACGAGGATGATCGTCTGCAAGACGAGTCAATTGACAATTTTACCTGAAGACATACGTACACACATAACATTTTTGTTTTTTTTTTCTTTTTATTACTAAACAGCCTATGTAGGAGCCACAGTATGGATCCTACAGTAAAAATAAAAATTTGTTTTTTTCTATACCCTGTGTAAAATGACACGATTTTCAACTGCATATGCGGGGCTAAAGTGGCTCATTTTTTCCCTAGGGAAAAAATGAAATGACGTCACGCAAATTAGGAAATTAACTAAGCCAATCACAAATTATCTTCGATCGAAATGTCAATCATCAATTTGAACTTGAACGTAAATGATTAACTATAAACGTAACATTTCAATATTTCGCAAAATGTCATTATATAAATCATTCCATTTAATCGTAAAAAACCGTATGTAAGTACTGTCAAAGGGTTTAGTACTGTAAAGAATTTAAATTTTACTTATAGGTTAGGTGATTTGGAGGTTAAGAAAACGAGACTGTCTTTTTAGTTCTTACTCCGAGGTCTTTGTGGTCACTATTTTAATTGTACAGTTAAAACCTACACATTTGGATTCAAGGTACGGGTAACAATGAAACTATTTATTTGGTGCAAATTTACTGTTATCATTATTAATTGAAAAAATTTCTATTGAATTTGCAGCAGCAATTTCTGTTCCTTTGGAAGGTATCTCGGGTATAACAGAAGCAGAATCGAATGGAATGCAGCAATTATTACATCAGGTAGAGTACCGGAAACACTACATTCACTATCAGTCTATCACTGTCCATTTTTAAAGTTCAAGTTTGATGGTTTTTGAAAATTCAATTATTGGTAGTTGTCGCCACCTCGTCGCTGTGTATAGATTGAAATTTAAAAAAAGACTCCAACCTCAGAGCTTTATTGTAAAAAAGTTACATCGCAAAACTATTAATTAAATTTCTTAAGCAATACATTGAGTAATCATTTCACCGATTCGTCAAGTGGGATGAAAACATTGGAAGCCCCGAAAACCTCAAGGGTATGAACGCCAGTGATGTACTCACACTGGACATAAAAAAGCATGTAGGGCGAAATTGTTATAAAAATGAGAATGTAATTTCTATGTAAAACGAAGCTTTACAGCAGCGTAAGAACACCATAAATCAGTGGTACAAATCGGAAGAAATAACGTTACAAACTTGTCTGAAAGCTCGTGTGTAGATTACCTTTTACACTTTGACGAACGTTTTTATAAACTACAATTTGTACTACATGTGTGTTAGTTTCTATTAGTAAGGTACCTACATGTGTCAATTATGTAGGTATAAGTACAATCAAATACTCTTTGGTACAATACATTTTGCAGCAAAAAGGTTCCCATTCATACATTTTTAGTAGAACTTTTGTTCCACATAACTTTGTATGAATAATATACTCCCAGTAACTTATTCTCCATTTTTATAATTCCATCTTATTGATATCTTGATTATAAAGAGATAAACAGGGCAGCCTGCAGTTCCATGCAATGCAAATTATGTAACCTAGAAATTGAATGCTCTAATTATTATGATTGTTTAGCAGCAACTTACAGTTGTTAGTTATACACAAATTACTCTTCTGTTTTATAATTCTGCTGCTCAATTTGTTGAAAAATGCATATTGTACCTAGTTACTTATATAACCTAACTTTTTAATTTTATTGTGCACCTCACAAATATTCTGTGGTGTACCTGCACGATTTACGAATACCACAGCTAGAAGAAGTAACGCACTGGGCGAACCTGCTCGGCAACTCGATTAACCTCGGGAGCGATGGGTAAGCTAGCTTTCCTTATAAACGCACGTGCTTTGTGTTTTGCGTATCTAAATGCCAATGGCGGTTTCGACAATAGATTACTGTTTTTATAGTAATGATTATTTTGAGGTGTATAGAAAAAAATAGTGTATTATACACGGGGAAAAAGCAAATTTTAGCGCTCACATAATTGCCTCCCTCCGCTACGCGTCGGGAGGCAATCCTTATGCTCGCGCTAAAAACATTGACTTTTCCCCCTTGTATAATAAATAGCTATTATTTGTAATGTAAACTATCAAATTTTAAAAATGTTTTAAAACCCACTAGTGGGTGTTGCCGCGTAACACATCTATAAATGATGAGTAACGGACAAATATAAACCATAACAGCTATCAATTAGCGAAAACCCGTAGTCACTAGGTGGCCCAGTGGCCGAGACCTCGTTGGAACAGGCAGATAGACGACGGAAAATCGAGCACATAAAGCGTTACTTCAACTTCGTTATGTTACCTACGCTAAAAAGGTACACTTTAGACATGGCCCTAGAATAACACGAACTGCAGATAGACATGAACAGCGAAAGAAACGCAAACTGAAATGATGGAGGACCAATACATTGCCACAATTTATTTCAGCAAGTAGTTAGTAGGAGAAGTGTCGTGTCGAGTCAATTTTTGTAATGTAGTTTTAAAAAATTGTCGTTTGGCGGCAACTACCCAGCATTTTGAACCATTCATAGAAAAAGGTATTTCAAAGATTAGCTCGGCCAGGGACCAGCGGATCTTTTATAAACCTTATAGGTTGATAAAGTTCGCACCCCCACTTTGCCCAAATCAAGTAAAAATATGCCTATAATTTAGGACTAATTAAAGACTAAGTTGTACCCACAAAATTAGAATTTGTACCCGCTTAGTTCCACCGGGAAACCGATTTTTAAAGTGGGGGTGTCCACTTGAAATCAAGCTACCACTCACACTTTTCTCGGTTCAAATTGCTAGTTGGATCAAAAACTATGAATTAAAGACTAAGTAATATTTTAATCTCAGAACTAATGAAAAAATGGGGCTGCGGCTCACTAAAGCATATTTTTTTAAGCAAAGCTAACGGGCAAATAGCTACTCAAAAATATAACGAAAGATTTTCGACATCCTACATCCATTGATCAAAATACGTATGGGCATAAAAATTCACTTGATTTACCTATTTAACATTGAACATTTTCGAACTGATGACACTTTTAAACAAATTTCGGGGTCCTGTAATTACAAAGATTTTTCTTCAGGCCTACCGAGTAAGTGCAAGAAGAACGAATGAGAGATTTTGAAAAAAAATGGCCACAATAGCGCCCTCAACTTTGTTGAAAAATTCACTAAAAGGTCACGGTAGTTTAGTGAAGTTTGTTCATTGATAAAATTTAGAAAATTCAATGTATGAATCGTAAGTACCATCATACGAACAGAGATATTCACCAGAATTTACACGAATTCAATGGGAAAAAATTATTACATTCCAGAACTCGATCCTCGTGGTCATTATTTTTGTTTTCCAAAAATGATTGCCACAAATCTCAGAAACGCAAGTAAATGATGCACGTATAAACGCCAGGAAGTGTAAAAGAGGAAGGAAAAGATTACATAAATGCAAGTAAGTATAATTAATTAGCTTATTCTCCACTTATCCTTTGTCTCTTTTTACATGATAGTGATATTTAAGATTATGAGACATTGTACAATGTACATTTTTTCTCTCAATCAATAAATCTAATTCATTAAATTTCTACGTAAAGACCAGTGAAACTTAACTGGGGTTTTTTACTTTTCTAGATGAAGAATATCCTTGACTACCTTTTTGTTGGATACTGGGGCTCGAATCACTGCCAGTCAATACTTTGGGTATTTCACCGCGGACTTTTTCTATCAATTCCAGTAAAATAACCACCATCACGTTTGTTTTTGGTCTTATCGATCCTATTTCGAAATATGCCTTTTGCAATGCTGGGTCACCGTTTTAATATTTGATAATTTCCGACCGACTTCAAAAATAGTGCAACGCGAACGTTCTAATATTGTGTTTATTAAGTTTTAATTGCGGTGGTTATTTTTCGTATTCCCTTGGTGATAGTTTCAAAGACGTAAACATTCCCATAAAAATCCCATAAAGACGTAAGCCGCTCTTAAAGTTTTTATTGTATCACATGCCAACCCAGCCGGCGATTAAACTGTAACTTCGTGACGAAAAAAAAATGTGGTAAATGCCAAAATGCACGCGTTTTGTTTAAAATAAGGAAACAGCTCGCCGTTATAATTCGGCTTTGTATTGACCTATGATAACTTTTCTCGGAGATATTGTATAATAAACAGTAGAGATTAATTCATTAGCTTTTAAATTACATTGAGTAAAGTTCAGTTTTAACATTTTTTAAAAGGCAATCGGTGCCATTTGTGCCATTGGTGGATTTCGCGTAATTTGTGCCGGGAGCACGGGACCAAAATTTCGTCCACTTTTTGCCATGGTCAACCTCGATCGTGGCCGTTTTAAATATTTAAATTTCGCGCTTGCAACTTCTTGACGTAGAAATATCTAGACGATTAGTTATTGATAACCTAATGAGAACGTCTGTTGATTTCACATACAATCCACGAGGTTCTCTGTATATGCAGTGTTACTTGCTGAAAACTATGGCGGTTTTTATTAGTTGTGTTTTCTGCCTGCTGTTTGTGATGATTCAGGCAATGTAAGTATCCTTTAAACTTCACCCTCATGGCAATGCCAGTTAAATTAATCCACATCGTTCTGAACCCTGCACAATTCTAAAAAATCGTTGCCTTAAGACACTGTTGCACACATTAGATAGTCACATAGTTGTACTACGGCAGATCTGGTTTAAGGCAAATTAAAGGGGAGTAATCTATTTTTGGACCCATTTATCTCTTGTTGATAACCGTATAATCCGAGTATTTTTGCCTCGACTGTAAGAAAGTAAATAAAATCGTCCCACTATTCCTCACAATTCTCACAAAACACGCTTAATTTCCAGCATCATCTCCATATGTACACCTCTCACTCCAACACCGTCTAGTCTGGAAAGTGTTACGTCACCTTGCAGTTCCAGATCCAGTAGAAAAGACTTAATTCTGTTGTCGCAGGGATTAACCGGCATACCAAAAGGAAGTGAAGAGATAGAAACCCTCGACGTATCTTACAACCACATTCAACACCTACCTGGCTATATATTTTGGAACAACAGCTACATAAACGTCAAAAAGCTATCTCTGCAACAAAATCGAATATCAAACGTCAGCGTAGACGCCTTTCAGGGCGTTCGGACAGTACACGAGATCGACCTCTCTGATAACATGATAACATCAATCGATCCTTACACGTTCAATTCAAACACCCACCTACAAAAAATGGTAATAATGAACAATCGACTACGATTCGATCGTCTCCAAACGTTCATCCTGTCCACCTCCATACAGTATTTAGTGCTATCAAACAATCAGATCGATCAAATTTACGAAGTGACCTTCTTAGGGGTGCCTAACCTGAGGAGTTTAGTGCTGAACGATAACGAAGTGCATCAGATCGCCACGAACAGTTTTAGGGCGTTAAATAAATTACATTATTTATCTTTGGCAAATACAGGTGTTTATCGTCTCGCCGAGTCTATGTTTAAACATATTCCGGGCATTGTAAACTTAGAAGGGACGCCCTTAAGTTTACGATTCGAGCCGCCCCTTAAAAAGGTAACGGGACAGTCCGTAACGCAACTGGTCGAGCTTTTAAACGCGATGCCGGAATCTGGCGAGGATTTAAGCAAATTGTGAGTGGTTCTCTCGAGTTTAATTTGGATTTTCGCCGAGAATGTGAGAATTGACGACTGAAAATTCGAAGAGGAAACTATTGTGTAAGATTAGGGCCGTAAAAGGAGGCCCCGACCGAAGTGTTTGTGAAGTTGAAGTGCACCGACTGATTAGAGTATAGCGTCCAAAATAATCAATCAACCAAATGCATCTATTGACTCGTTGATTTTTCCACTGTAAGCCATGGTTATCCATTTAACGAGATCTTAATTTGGTAATCGAAGTACGTGCAATTTATTAAGTTGTTGCTCTACTGACCTTTCGATCTGTTCCATCGATAAGAGCGACAACCCCAGCATGGAACGGTGATTGCATGCAATTTGGGGCGATAATTGTGATAAATATTCGGCACTATCTTTAACGTGATTTACATTTCATTACAACTAGTTTATTTGAATGATATTTGCGCCAAAAGATTATAACTTATGACTCTCCACTACCCTTTTTCCGCGGCCAATGTAGGAAGATCTTGCAGTGGAAAACTTTGTCTCCCTCCATCGAAATCAAATTTTTTCTTGTATCAAGAAGTCCGCTATAAATGAAACTTTGTCAATATTTCAATTATTGGAAATATTAACAAATTCGAGTGAATAGATGATGATTATGTCAGTATTTTCGAAACTTTTTTCATCAAAAATTGAATATCAAAAAATATCGAAGTGTTGATTGTTTATTGCCAAAGATAAGACACGTGTTTTGTTTATTTGTGGCGTCCATCTAAGTTTAGAAGTCAAGATTATTGTTGATAGCAGTTTCGACACGTGTAAATAATAGTAAATATTATTTAAAGAAAAACCCAGAGGGTTTTTGTTGTAGATTTCATATTTTCAAGCTTGCTGCTTTCTAATGCTATTTATGTGCAAAGTACAGCATTAAGGATATTTTGCATGCAAGCAGTTCATGTGTCACATCCTTTAAATGTAGCCAGGTGAATATTAAGCCAAGTTTGCATGTTATTAATGCGTCTTTCCTGTATAGATTTTTTATCAATATGCAAACTGCGTTCTAGTCGTTGCATAACACCTAAGAGATTTTTTTTTCATTTAATGTATGCACGTAATTGTTTATTCGCATATGCAGTTACTTAAGTTAATTAATATTCTTGGTGGTTATTACTACTGAAAAAGCCGACGATCATTGTTCATTCGTGCGCTTCCCTGTAAATATTTGACTTTTTCATCTTTCGTGCATAATTAATTTTAGGAATGTTTGTACCTGACCTTAATTTTAAGTGAAATTTTGTAAATAGTTATTTATAGACTGTATCAAATAGTAGATGTAGAAACAAACTGAACGCCTTTAGCGAAAATTAAAAGGTTACAAGACTTAAGTGAGAAAAATTAGACAGATGATGTATTATGGCTTGTCATCTAATGACGGTTTTCCTCCTTTAAACGTTATTAAATCTGTTTTTAGGACTACAAAAACATTTGCACGATATTATTTGAACCAAAATTACTGTTGTTAGTCATCACCTTTTTTCTGGACACCAGCTGCCACAGTCCTAATCTGAAGATGCTTTTAAAATTCCTATTTATTTACTTATTTTTAATGACCATAGGCAGAGATATTCAGTAAAACTGAATCTTTACAACCCCTAACTTTCTCCTGTAGATGTTCACGTTTCTAACAAAATTCCATGCAAACAATGATCTCATTACTTCTTAGTCTAGTTCCTTACAGCCTTTGGTTGCCAAGAAATGAAGGGTTTAATTTAAAAACAATATCATCAACTTCGACACGTATATACGACATTACTACATACTACCTGCTGAATTGAATAAGGGTGCCAATCTGTTCACTCCTAATGTATTTTGTCTGTGGCACCCCTAACAACATCAGACACTGTAAGCAAAAGAGTTGAATCCATATAACTACTAGTGTTTCTGTTCCTTATAAGTGCATACAGTGTGTCCCATATAGAACGCACCATAGGAAACAGTAATGTATTTTTTCGCGAAGGGCGAGGCATTTAAAAAATGAAAATCCAAAATTTTTACTTTTCTAAAACTGGCAGTGGTGGAAGTGGAAGAAATATAGAATATCTTCGTGATGTAAACCGGGGTGTTTTTACTTCGAGGGCGTTTCCATCAAGATGAAGTATAATCGTCAAAGAATAGGTAGGTAAGGTAATTAACTTCTGCTCTAGATTTTCACCCCTACTCCCTCCTCAATTAAATGATTATAAATAATTACAAATTAAAAAAAGACCTCCGTTTTTAGTGGGTCATCTTAACAGCTAGGACAGACTCCTACACCAAGTGGTCCTGTTACATCATTAGTTCACAATCATTAGATCATTAATAAATGCCCAATAGAAACAATGGTATGGTTTCGTTGGTTAGCGACACACAATGAACCTTTGATTCTATTGGCGACTCTTTATTAATTTAATGATAGTGATCTAATGATAATGTATGTATAAACCCACCATTAATGAAGTCGAACATTGCAGTTAAACAGAAAAGCAGCAGTACTGCAACGACAAGGGTTAGAAAAAATTATGATTTATTTAAAATTGTAGGGTGTAAAAGTACACCAACTTAAAGTTTCGTGTCTTTATTAATTTTTGACAATAATGATATCTGTAAGATGATGTAAAACCTAGAGAAGATAGGACGTTTGTGAGGTGCCAAACTTGTATATACAGGGTGTGGAACTAGGGAACATACAAAAAATCTTTCAAATAAAATTTTTAGTGTTTCTGCAGGTAAGCTACATAAACTAATGTAAAACAAAAAATATTTTAATTTTCGGAGATATACCTATTTTGGACTATTTTTTAATGGTATGCCCTGTATATTTTTATACTATTTGGTAGGAAATAATGTTTTCTTTTATTTGTGCAATTATGTAATTCAAGCATGTCGCAGAAATCCAGATTTTCTAAATAAAATTTTACGGACAGATGAAAACCACTTTTCCAATAATGGTATAGGCATAAGACGCTGTCAATACGCATTATTGGCGAAGTACAGACATGGGGTCCCATCAAAAACAAAGTTTATGTTACGCACATAACTACACTTGAAGAATTAAAACATAGAATAAGAGAAGCTGTGAACGAGATAAAGAATAAAATTAATAATACTGTAAATCAACATTCGTTAAAACGGTGAAAATTTTGAATAACATTTTTAGTGTTACCAGTATGACAATAATTTGATTTACATTTGTAAATTAAAATGTTTCGTAACTCAATAATTTTGTAAAGCTATTTTAATATTTTCTTTAATATCTCGAATTCTATTAAGTTTCGAAGGTTAACTTTCCTACCAAACAGTATAAAAATATACAGGGCGGGCCATTTAAAAAAGTCAAAAATAGGTATATCTCCGAAATATATTTTTTTCTGATTTACATTAATTTATGTAGCTCACTATTTTATTTGCAAGATTTTTTTGCATCTTTAATAACTTCGGAGAAAAGTCGCGTTCCCTAGTTCCGTTTGCACCTTTACACGAGCTAACTCCCATCAAAATAGGTGACAAGAAAGAACGTGTCGGGTTTATGCGTCAGTCGCATTGGCAAAGTTGGTTTTTTCTCTTTACCATTTAAGCAACTAGAAAAAATGAAATCTTGTACCAGACCATTTGTAACCTTAAAGTTAAATTTAATGAACTAATTATACAGGTTGATTCAAATTGGAGAGCCACCATGGGGATCTCGGAAACTGTAGGAGATAGGGAGATTGGCGAAGTTACGTATTTTGATACTTAACACAATGCCGTTTTGAATAATTTCGCCTACTTTCGGAGATGAAAAAAACGAAATTTTGCATTAACTTATTACCGATGGTATTAGAAAATGTATTTTAAAATTAATGGCACATTATTATAGCCACTTTTTTCCCTCTACAAGATGCTAGTTTTAAATTTTAAGTGTGACGTTTCGTCTCCGGTTAACCATTATCAACTTCGTTTTTTCTATGGAAGTTATTTTTACTGTTTATGTCATTTGATAGAGCATTCAGTTTTTAAAAATGTAAATATCACTATTTTTAATAAGAAATGGCACTATTAATTCATAAAAAAGCAAGAAACTACGAACATACACTACAAAAAAGAAGATATTTTAACAATATTTAAAAAATAGTGATCTTTACATTTCTGAAATCAGAAAAAATGCTCTATCAAATGACAGAAAAAGTAAAAATAACTTCCATAAGAAAAACCAAAGTTGATGATCGTTAACCAGAGACGAAACATCAGACTTAAAATTTAAAACTATCTGCTAGAGGGAAAAAGTGGCCATAATAATGTGTCGTTTATTTTTAAATCTCTTTTAAAACGATTTTGCAAAATTCCATCTACGAAAGTAGTTGGAATTTGTTCAGTTTCAAAAGGTCATTTTGTTAATCATCAAAATACGCCAAATTTGAACTACCTACCTATCTTTTACAGTTTCCGAGATCTCCATGGTGGCCCTCGAATTTGAATCAACCTGTATAGTGGATCCAAAATCTGTAACGATTTACCGAATGCAGATTTATTTATATAGCGCTGTAACTGAATTACCATCTAGTTAAATCGGTTTGTATCGTATTCCAATTCTTCTAGAAGAGGTCATTTTCTAGAAGCGCAGAACAGATCTAATTCCTACGAAAAAAAACTAATGAAGCGCTGATTATATAAACGTTCTTAATAATACAAGGTAATGGAAAAACGCCGAATCAATCATGGTTATATGGCCACTTACTCCGTCCGACCGTCCGTCTGTCCGAGGCCTAAACTACAGTTTTCAAGATATTTAGTTCGTTCTTTTTGCATTCGGTAGCTTATAGCTCTGGCCATGTCAACTTTCTTATTTATACATAATGTTTTTTCAAATTTTTATCAAAGATTCTTCGGGTAAAGACAAGCAAATCGCAGATGTAAAAATCAGATGAGTACATGCGTAAACTGCGCAATGTGATTTTTCTTATTTATGGAGATTTTTTTTGAAATTTAAACCAAAGATTCTTCTAGTAAAGGTAAACACATCACATATTATAACAGTCAGATGAGCGCATGCATTTCTTATTTATTAATTATTTGTACACATAAATAGACATGACCTTTCCCGAAGTACTGATCAATTCATGGAAAATGCGCCATAAGGCGAAAACTTTATTTATTTTTTATACATCTTTGATAGAATAACAAGTTTAAAATAGTATCGAATTTCCTTAAACTAAACGCTTCTAATAAAAGTTTGTGATTCGACTTTTTTCCTAAAAAACAATGGTCACAAAGTCAAACTAGGGAACTTAATTAAAATTCAGGAAATTTTTAGGACCTAAAGCTCATTTATTTATATGGGTCACCCTATATATTTTTAAATATTTGAATTTATCAATCCAAAAGGAGTTGTTGCATGAAGTATGTCTTACATTTACGTTAAATGGTTTTTCAAAAAATTAAAAGATTTCCGCAATTTATTACTGTTTCACAAATATTCTATGAACGAACCGCTGATAGGTGGCAATGAATTTTCCTAAAACAAATTCTATTGTTGGTTGTGCGTGAGATTGATGAGTTGCTGAGAGTGATTGATATAAATTCCACAGCCCTGACGAGGGAAGAAATGGAGTATGATAGAAAATCCACAACGAGAGAATTTATCAAATTTATCCGCAAACCTCAGTATGTAGGATCTTGAAATGGTCCACGTCCATGTGATACACAATGACCAAGAATGAGAGAAAAATGATTTCCACTGAAGACGCCATTTCTGTGTAGAGGTGGCCCTATCGAAATAAGAAACTTTCATTTTCAATTTTGTCAACAACATTGATTTTTGGAAATACATAGTTGGTTCACAGTGTTTCATGGGGCCCGAGTATTGAAATTGTCTAGTCGTAATTGTGATCAGCACACGAAACTTGGCCCATTTAACATTATCTCCATTTTCAACAATACTAAAGTTATGCCCGCGCAATATCATTCGACCTGGGAAACCATGTTTAAAAATCTAGTTTTTCTCATATTGAGTATTAGCATTTATATCAGATTCTTTATTCAATACATGGTATTAGAATATGGTACCTACAATACTAGCAGTAGTAGAAATATGTATCTACAGGTAAACATGAGGAAAAAATAACCATTTTTGGGATCAATAACGCATCCAAGCACTTCTCCGTTGTATAATCAAGAATGCCATTGCATTTTTTATGGAAATTGTTTGACTATAAACTATATTCAAATGGTAAGCGTGAATAAATAAATAATAGCGAATGCATTTTAAGAAACGCATCATTTGAGTAATTTTCAAACGTTTAAAAGCCCACAATACTGCTAAAAAGCGTATTTTGGTTGAGATATGCAAACATACTTTATTAATTATATCGTTTATAATAATAAAAACGAGCTATTTTGCTTCTAAAATTGTACCTTGCTTAGTTTTCTTACCTCTATGAGACACTAACACTTGTCACTTAGAGCTCGTGTATGGAACTGATTTTGGAAATTGGAATACCTCAACGCTAGTGTTAGGAAAGATAACGTCGAGGTCTGGTTTTCCCCTGACTTGTTTACACGTAGGTATTCAATAATTATGTTGTTCATAGAGATTTGGAAAAGTTATAGGCACAATCAAATCGATTCTTTTTAGAGCTGAATCTTATTCTTTACCTATACAAAGAAATGATAAATGAAACGGCATTTTTTGTTTACTGAAAGCAAGGAGTTATAATAATCAACTTGACTTTTGTTCCATTTATTATTTTAAGTATTAGCCCAATCAAATTTTACCACAAAACGGCGGTGTTTCTGATCAATCAGATCAACCTCGCAATTACTTTAATTCGATGTAAAGTTCCATTGAATGGATTTTCAGAATAAAGTAGGAAAATGGATTTTGACGCAATTTATGGTTATTGGATGTCCCACCAAAAGTTACAATACGAGTTCCTTTAAAAAATTTACCTAATCCCAATACGTTAAGGGAGTTAGTTCTATAGGCGCAATGGGAGAGTTCCTTCGGTCGAAGAAACAAATAGTCCTCCACCATTAAATATTATAATCCAAGATTTGAAAAATTACGTAATTTGAATACGGTAAGGGATATTATTTACTTAGAAGGCGCAAATGAAGGGTTTCTGGTGAATCTCTTAAACGTTATCGTTCAAGGATCACAAATTTTACAACCCTAACAATTGGGGATTACAAAGCAAGTAGGAGAGGATTTTCTTACGTAAAGAGAGTTCATTTGTTGGCACAATTGGAGGAGTTAAAACGCCCGGGAATTAATTATTGTATAGCAAGTGTAGGAGAAAGGCCTTAAAAAGTGACGTCATTTCAATACGGTACGGTATGTTATTTATAGACTCAATGGCTGCTTGTGAATCCCTTAAACTTAACAAATCGAAGAAAAATAAGTGTTGGATTTACCACAAAAGTAACTACTCCCATAATTAGATATAGCGATGGAGAATCTCCTCATTAATTTATTTCATATTTTCAACATGATAAGGGGATTCTTTACTGGGCGCAATTGGCAATTTCTGATACTTACATCCCTTACACATATTCGATCAAAAAAACAGACGTTTTAGATTAGATCATTTTAAGCAACAAATAAAATTTCGAACAAAACGAAAATAAATAGCGGGTTATATATGATAGTTTTGAAGCCAGCATTTTTGCCTAGAAAATATATCAGCTTCAGGGGATAATTTATTTGGGTTTAACTGCACCTTTTTAAATGTAACCCATTAAGGTGTATCGGTCACTTCTTTTGTGAGCTGCCACTACCATCTTATATTTCAATGTTACTTAATTAATTTTTATACAGGTTGTCCCATTTATCTTGAAACAGCCAATTATTGCGAAAACTAGCGGAGATATCAAAAAATGATTTATATAAAATATCTTCATATGGAGGAGTTCATTTAATCATGCTATGCACATATTCACATAACTGTCCCTTAAGGGTCAAGTGTAGGGCAACTATTTTAAACCTATACTTTTTAATGAATATTCTTATTCTACAACTGAAGATAATAAACTTTTGTGGTATACTAACAGTGTGCGTCAGTGTACCGAAAAGTCAACCAAAAGTAACTATAACCACTATTAAACGACTGGGGGCGCTAGCTATTTTTTTTGCTCCTTAAGAGGACGATCCTTTAGAAAAGGTTGAGAATCTATGCCCTAATTTGGTCAAAAAAACCATTGTGCCTACCAGAAAAGTTGCACCCCCACAATTTAGTATTGCTCAGTCAGTAAATGAATTGAGACAGCGATGTGTAACCTTCGCCAATCGATTTCCACGAGTTCAAGGATCAGTGCTATTGAATATGAGCCGGATTAAAAGTCCGGTTTCCGAATGCGAGCTGAGTGACAAAAATTTTCCCTACTGAAAATCGTATGCGATTCTTCGTTTTTTTTCTTTAGTGCCATTAAATTCAGTTAAGTTCCGATATTTCCTTCGATTAACTATTGTTCTCCTCTATGTATTTAGAAACACGAACGTTTTACACAATATGATTATCTCTACACGCAGAATAGGATTCATACAACAGCTCTTCTTAATTTGGAATATCAATTCGTGTGTTACAGGCGTTTAAAACTGAGCACAATCGGGCAAAATGGGAAAAATGTTTTAAGGCGCTAAAGCTAGCATACATTAAAACCATTTTTACTTTGTGTGAATTTATCGAAATCTAATCTGATTAAGCTACCAGAACCAAAAGCAGCAAACCACTTTTTAAGTTTTATGGTCACGAATCCCCTGATCAAGACGTCGATAAACTGGTTGCAGTTTTAACTGGAGCATTAATTTTTCATAATTAATTTATTATTATTTGTTGACATCGGTATCCTTCCCTTTACACTAGATTATAACGGGTACCTTTCGAGGATGTATTAAAAAAAGATCGAGATTGACACGTAAACTGATTATTCTCGAAAATACTAACCGTTATTTTGGAAACAATCTCATGTTACAAACATTATGCGCAAATTGTAAAGGAAGAGAGCGTGACCACCCCGAACGGCTAAAGACAGACACCAGACCATTTACCAGGCAGGCTGGGATCTTTAACAGGCCGTGAAAGAAGTCTTTGATAATGATGGGGCAGGATGTTCTATTGAAGTTAACACTACGCAGACCAACTTCAGGAATGCAAACAGAAGAGGAAATATTGCATAATATATTTCCACGGCGCAACAAAGAAAAAAGTACACGTTTCGAAATGGTTTTATTATGTTATAAATTTATTCTACTGTCTAATAATTGTAACGCAGATCGGCTAATGTTTATAGTTACCGAGAACGTATAGTAAATGTAAATCGTACGATTTTATTGCTCCATTCCTCGATTGAGGTTTCATAAAATAAAACCTTTAACATTTATTAACTTACTTAAAGATCGAGGATGACGCTTTTGAAAAATCATTTTCCTGTACAGCCACCGTAAACATGTCGTTATGACCGCTTACTGTACCACCGCTTTAAAATATGACCTGGCGCATTTGTTTATGGTGTATTTCGACTTTGATGCCAATGGTTTTGTAAATTGAATCACGTGCATACTAGTCAACAACTGGATGTATTCTCTTCTCTTTTCAAACTTGTTGTTTGTTTAGACAACCACCTTCGTTCACGATTAGACTGAAATACAAATAAATTTGCAAAAATGCGCTAAAAACAAGCTCCAACCCCCTTTGATCACGTGACAGAAACAGATTGGGACTAAACTAATTTGTTGTTTGTGATTAAGTGAAAATAAAAATAGTATTTCCATTTTTCTTTTGCCTAATAGCAAAAATATCTCATAATTCCTTGTTTATTCAAGGCAATTTTTATCCGTTATTGGTAAGTTTGGGATGGCAAAACGGGCACAAAGCCACCCTCGTGCATAACAAATTGGTATTGAATAAAACACGAATATAAACTGGAAGAACTTGAAGACACGGAGTCAATATAGGCGTATAGCAAGTGAAAAATCACCCGGGGAGGAAGAGCACAATCAGCAACTCTGCGAAATCACAAAATCCGGAAGAAACTAATAAAAGGGGACAACAGGGACGAAAGAAAAGGTAATGTTAAGGCAATGAGATGGAAAATGATATACGGAAAAACGAAAAGCACATGTAAAGATAGATATGTACTAAGAAAAGGAACATGGAACATAAGAACAATGCGTACTCCCAGTAAAATGGAAGAAATCGCCAAAGAAATGAAGACATAGGAATCCTAGCAATACAGGAGGTGAGAAAGAATATTGTGCACACCATTAAAACTTTGAATATAATCAAAACTACCACCTTATCTGATGTAGAAATATTTAATCTGGACCACCCTCAAGAATAGGTATTTACGAATCCACGTCCCTTCCGGTTTTCAAGCCCGGTGATAGTAAATGTTGACGGAAATTGATAATTGAAGCTGGATAAGGTTAGGTATCTATTTACCATGGAAAAAATCTTCAAGTGAGTTTTTTACATAAACTGAGTGAAAAGGCACAAGAGGAGCCTATTTTTAACATTTAGCCGCAATATATACAAGGTAAGTGTCAAAGTAATTTAAAATTCGCACAGTAGATGTTGATGAATATGAAACATCGTGTTTGTTTAGATGTATGTATTCTCGCTGAACAAACACAGCCTCTTTTTTTGCATTTCTAATTTATGAATCTGTTTTAAAAAGTTCACCTCCATTAATTTTTAGGGCAGTCGGTCTTTCTTGTCTGGGTTATAAATAATATATTCATATTGACAAGAACACGTGCAAGGAAGCCAGTCGTGTTTGTGTGTTATGTTTATCGTATAATGTGAATAATTATACTTTACAATAAACGTATGAATGAAACATTGTTTAAACAGTACATAACTTAAGGGTCAGAGGTTGTCGATGGGGTTTTTCTGATAGAGATGGCGCCGATTCTCAAACAGAGCGTAACGATATTCTAATTCATTTACGATAGACATTTTTTTGCGGCAATAAAAAGTGTAAAAATCTTCAAATTTTGTTTTTAAATCCTGAAAACGTCAATGGTTATCGTGCGAAATCTTCAACTGCAAATGATATTGCAATTTTGCGCAACGTTTTGTAATAATGCTACAAAAGACCTTGAACTTAAAATACACTAACAATTCAGTTTATGATGAATTGGGGTTGAAGAAATGGTACTTTTCTGAATCCAAAGTGAATCAAAACCCTTAACGAGCCGAATTCTTCTTATCTCTGTTTTTAGAATTGGACGCCGAGGTCGATCGACCAAATTTCATATTTATTTTCCAAATGCAAAGTGGATCTCAGCTCTTCTGGATGTATTTCTTATCCAAATTCTTATCTCGTTAGATCTTAGTGTTGTTCTTGCCCTCTTTGGAATTAAAATTGAAAGCGGACGAAAGCAGATCGACCGAATTTTGGGACATCGCCATTTTCATTCTTTTCAAATTTAAAGTGACTTGGTTTTTATTAGTCAAATTTTTTTGGATCTCATTACATTTTAGGAGAGCGTTAAATAAGTACATTTTCTGGCGCAGCTCGCTTCGCCACTTTAAAATTAAGAAATTCTTTTACAAATTTCGTTTTATTGATATGATTATTTTCAAATAAATTAATAGAGAAGAATTGTAGTACGCCACATATTTCTGTTTCTTTGATTGATTTTGTTTAAATAGTCTTCTAGTCTACAAGCAACCCTCCAACTGCCCATACAAATGTCACCTCGTGGGATTTTTAAATTAAGAATTTTCTAATTAAGTCTTACTGATTATTCTCATATGCATTGAGAGGGGGTAACATTTGTAGTACACCGAATATTTTTTTACAATCAACCCTAAAAATATCACCCTTCACGATTTTGAATTTTTTTAAAAATCGGTTTCACTGATTATTCTTATATGTCTTGAGAAGGTTATAAACCTTTGTAGTGCAGTGAATATTTCCATTTCTTTGATTGAGTTTGTTTAAACAACCCTCCAGTTGCGCATAAAAAGTCACCCCTTGGGATTTTGAAATTAAGTTTTACCATTGAATAAAAACACTATAAGAAGCCTAACCCCGTGGAAATAAAGCGCGACAGAGATTGAACTGAGAATATAATGGAAACACTGTCAATAGTGTCGATTCTTGAACTGAGAAGAATGAGAATTTGCTTTCCTCCTATTTACCGCAAAGAGAGTTCGGTGGTCACAACCAATGCGGGTGCAAGGGGATTTGTCGCGCTTTCTTCCATAAGCGTTAGGCTTCTTATAGTGTTTTTATTCAATGGTTTTACTGATTATTCTGATAGGTATGCCTTCCCGAATAACTATCAACCGTTTCCTGAAGACCTAACGGTTTTTGGACTCAAAATGTGGCTAAAATCATAATAATAACTGAGGAAGTGTGTTATGTGATTATGTCGATCCCCAAGAAAATATGTCATCTTTATGGCTCAATGAGAAGAGGATTGCAACTGAGAAAGCGTGTTTTCCTTCACTCAACAACAAAATTAGCAAAGAATCAAAAACAATTTTATGCCCTACTGCGCTTCTGTAACCCCAATGCAACAATTTCAAAAGGAGGAATTTGAGTAATAACATTCCTGTCAATAAGTTTCACAAATTTTCGCATTTCTGCAATTTAAGAGGATATGTATCAGGATGAGATAATGACTGCCAATAAGTTATGGGGCTTCCGCTTCTTGGGTGTTGATAATGTGGACACTAGGAACCTTTATGCAAAGAGTATAGTGAGTTAGAATTAGTAAGTGCCTGTGGCAAAAAGAGAAATAGATGACATGATGGTAATCATTAAATTTTACGCCGTAAAGAAGAAATTTGTATCAGGAGAACATGTAAGTGCTTTTAAAAGTTGAAATTTTGGTTGGAATGTTTTGAAAACGTAATGTTGGTCCCATTTCTTTTAACCATTCCCTTAATACACAAATATTCCGTTTCAACAACTGCATTTGGAACAATTTTGCGATAGGTGCTGGGTTATGACCTCGTTTTCCGAATTTAGCTCCATTAGATTTTTCCTGTTTTCTACGGAAAAAGACATCTACAATTGATGAACATCGACAAGCAGTCACTGAGGAACTTAAAACCTGAAAAGCGATAGATTTTCTTCTTTCGGTCATTGTAAAAAATAAGCCTAAACGGTTTGTGCTATTTGCACTCGTAGTACTACGCATAAATCTGAAATTACGTTCTAGGAGGAACGCACCCTGCGTAGTATAGGTATATCCCAATGAATTACACATAAATTAGTCAGATTTGATAATCTACATGCTGACATGTATATGGATGGAATTATAAAAATGATTCACGTTATCAATTTTCATTAATCACAATTGACGTATGTAATCAATGAAATCAAGTAAGTTCACCCTGAAAACTGCTAATGAACCATTTAACACCGAAAACTGGTATGAAATTTACATGAGAACTTTTCCAACCTTATTGGGTAAAGTGCCCGTTAATGACACACGAAAGAGGGTGCCGATTGATATGTATAATCGTGGTCTCCACTGTCATCGCCTAAAACATACAATCTCAACGATGATCTTGTATTAATATGGTAATGCATCTAAAGTGCATTAGATATCTTAACGTAATCATCTACATGGACCTTCTAGAGATAAGATTCCTACATAAATCGTGTTAAACGACCGAATTCCTTAAACCCCATCTAACAACATGCATAGCTCTGAAGTATTTATTTGTGGGGCAATATCTTAATCGTGGGGAAGTGCTCGTAACGCCCGCAGGCCGTACAAAATTCCCACCTTAACATTTGCCATATGTGATATGTGCGAGGGCAATTAAATCTTTAAAAAATTGGACATACGTACAACCTACACTTGACACTAAGCGCGAACCTCCGCCGTTCTACATTATTCGTTATTTTAGCATATTACCATATCAGTACGGGCGAGAAAGGGCATAGCGTTCTTATGATTGAACTTGGTCTTTGAGCTGCCTTATAAAGCAGAGATTTATAATTTTTATTGCAGAATTATGGTTATTTATAACGAGTGTTTATCGTTTGACCTTTGGTTGACTTTTAACTTAACCGCTTTGACCCATTTTCTTTGATAAAATTTATAATGTGAAGGTACCATTCAGTATTGACTCAAAATTTCCTTCACAATTTTTTGTTGATGCGATTGCAGTTCCATTCCAATTTACTTCCGCTTTTCGCCACATATGCGCATAGTAAAGCCTTATTTTCTAATTACTCAAAAACGAACAAAGCGTAAGTAAACTTTAAAGCAGATAGATGACGAGAGACAAAAGAATGAGATTTAAGTGTCCCAAAATCGCGAAGCGTCAAAGAAAATTTAAATAGAGATCTAAAATGAGTCTTCCCTATTAGTCGATCTTTCTAATTTTTGGAAGTCCTCCGTTAGTAAAGAACGAGCTGGGAGGTATTTAAAGTGTGTACAGTTTCTCATACATCCCCTTACCTAAAAAGAGCGCAGATGAGGAAATTTCTTGACGAGATTGAGGAATTCTAGAAGTGAAAAATCGAGATTTTCAATATTTTCTACCTTCTTCAACATCCACGATGCCTGATCTTAAAGTATTTATTGAAAAGGGAGAAGTGATTCCGTATTATAGTAAAGGGAGATTTAAGTGTAGAATCTTAACGTCAAAGTAGGTTCCAGACCAGGCCAGCAGTCAGTCACATTTCGGAAGGCGCTGAATATAATAATTGATTATTGAGGTTATACATTCTATTCAAAAATTGCCCTGGAATAGTACTTAGGTTGTGATTTTTTCATAGAACCTACTTATTTTCTTTTATAATTAGACATTAATGAAAACCTTCTAGAGAATTTCAATGATGGATGAAGTTATCTGTCTCCCTTCTGGAAGGAACCATTCTAAAGCTAACATTTCACACTCGGAAAATAACCGCTTGTTTAGGACAAATATGGTAGGTTTCTGCAAAACTCCATGAAGAACTAATAATTCTTGGGACAGAAGAAAATTAAAACGTATAACGAGTTTTTCCGATTTTTCTAGGAAAATTGTGAAGAAATGTTTGGTACAAACGCTGTAGATCCCCCTAAAAGCTAACCGCGTTTCTTTCTTTCCCATTAAAATCAACTTTAATTAATTTTTCGTGTTATCAGCATAACATTATCTTTCCTTTCCAATGACTCTCATAACGTTACTATTTTTTTTTGTAAAAAAAAAGGCTCCCTTCTATAGTAGCAAAATGTTAATTTTTACTTTCTGGATTTGATTTTATGTTTCCAGATGTAAAATCGAAGCCAATTTCCTTTGTAATTAATTTTTATTTGAAACTTTTTTGTTACTAATATATTTGAACTTTTTTAAAATGGCGATTTTCACATTTTTCCAATTATCTACGAAACGAATTATTTTTTTCAAAATATCGCATCAGAATATCCACCAGCATCAAAGACTACACGTAGACTTTTCCAATTTATCCTACTCAATTTAAGACACCCTGCATACACCACGATAGAGAAGTCTATTACGCACCTTTCATCCCTCAGCGCAAGCGCCGCAGGGTGTAATCCCAGGTGTAATCTTCGTGCTCAGGCAATAATAGACATCTCTATCTTGGTATATAATGTACTCAGTACTATTACATAGAATCACATAAAACATCAATTATATCTACCCCTAAGTTTATAATGATTTAAACAGAAATTTTGAAAAATCTTGAAAACGTTTGATGCTGGGTATAGGGAAATGTGGTATCAAACAACGTAGATCTTCCCGTAGATGCCGAAAATACAATATAGGGTGTTCTATTTAAAATAAGAAAGTTATTATATTTTCTTTCGATAGATCATGAAAAACTGTGCTAGTGTGCACATTTTCAGATTTCAATTATTA